AGAAGAAAAAGTACGTCCAAAATCTTAGGTCTGAAGGTTCCTGGGATATCTCAAGCACATGAAGATCGGGGCAGAAGAATCAGCGCTGTGAAAAGTCAGGGATTAATGTGGCTGCAGTGGTGATAGTGACATATGAAGTGCTGGAAGGGAATAGACAGAGTTTGTGGTTCATGTGGAGCACAGGTAAAGTGGGAATTTCTGAGAACTGAAGCAAGCAAGGCTGACGCCACTGCTTTAGTGTTTAAATGCTGGTACACATCAGCTCCCAGCCAAATCCACTCTGAAAGCATAAAAGCAATTGCACGGCTCTGTGTGGCAGCCCCTGCTCTGCAGTCAGAGCAAAGAGTTGGGATTTAGTCTGAGATCAGACTCTGGCCCTCAAGGGCAGCTTTGCACGAGTAGTAATCACGTTCTTGTTCCTTCTGCAGCCTGGAAGTGTCTCCTTGCCTAGAGCCCAGCTACTGCCTGCAAAAGTCAAGGACAATGAAACTCAGCCCGCACGAAGCAGAGGATGTGGGACTTGTGAAATACATGCCCAAGTCTCTGCTGCTGCCCATCAACACATTTGCAGGTGTCATCCAATGAAGAAAAGGAGAAAAAGCCGATGTGCAAGATGCAGCACTTGGGTCGTGATAGAAGACGTGGAAAAAAAGAAAGCACACTAAGAAGCTGTCAACAGTGGCTTTGCAACCGGGTGTTTCTAAAGCCTTCTAAAGCTGCAAAGGCAGAGGTGGGCAGGGCTTGGGAAGGACAGCTGTGCGCCAAGCTGTGGTGGCCACAGCCTGTGCTCCCTGCCAGGGCAGAGCTCTCCTGAGTGACTGAGAGATTTGACCTTTTGCACAAGTGGTGAAAAACCTCCAAGCTTTTCATTTCAGGGAAAGGACTGGAGAAAATAGAGCCGAGGTGATGGTGCTTGCTGTGCTTGCGGATCAGAGAGCAGTTGCTAGCACTAATATTTATTGTGTTGGCATCTCCTGGCCTGGTGTGCCTGTGTGTCCAATGCGTGCAGTCAGTGGGACAGCCACTGTTGTTTCAGAGGGGCTATGCAAGAACAATGGGTGGTGTGAAGCAGAGACATGAGAAATCCAGTGCAATATTTGGCAGTGATGTACTCAGGTTGCCCAGGCAGCACAGCCTGGCTTTGTTTTGAGAAGCCTGCAGAACCCCTGGGAGACTCCTCTGTTCCTTCCCCCTGCTGCTTTCAGGGTGTGGGAGCCCTCCCCTGGCTTGCAGATGGGCTCAAACCCATGCAGCTTTATGGAGCAGTGTGTCCAAGGCCCATCTTTGCTGAAGTAATGGAAGAAACACGGTGTGCAACATTGGTTGGCTCTCTGAATACGGTCTGTGATGTCTGGGTTGTCTCCAGGGAGTCTTCTGTAAATCACATTGGAGTGGATGTGGGATCCCTGGCACCCTCCTATGACACTATCAGCTTTGATTCTCTCAGCTCTCAGCAGCTCAGGGGTGCTGGCTTGTATCCCCTGCCCCAAGGAGGAATCCTCCAGCCTTGTCAGTGCACACAGCAGCTCTTCCAGTGTCACCACAGGGCATCCCTGGAGCACAGATACCCAAGTCTGGAGATGCTTCCTTCCAAGCCTGCAGGTTGCCCTGGCTGGTTGGGCCCCGTGAAACCCTCCTGCTGCTGCCCCTCACTGTTGCCTTGGTACAGAAGACAGCTTTGGTTCCTGTTCCAAATTCAGGGTTTATGCACTCTCACTTTGAATGCACCACACAGCCCCAAACTAGCACTGGAATACATTACAGGGGGCAAAGCAACTCTGGAGCTGTTGGTGTGTGATGGGTTATTCAGCAGCATAAAGAGCCTCCAGGACCCAAAAAGCTTTTATCCCCAAACCAGCACCTATAGCTGAGGGGCAACAGCATCACAGCACCTCAACAGCCTGGAAGGTCTCAGCAACCATCTTCAGTTCTTCAGTGCAGTTTTTCATCTCTCCTCAAAAACGACGACCAATGCCAGGACAGCACCGAGCGCTTTGACCTTGGAAGGAGCTGAATTTGGAAGGGAGGGAGGCTCAGAAATAAGTCAAGCAACCTGCTTGTCCCAACATCCTTCCTTTCTGAACTGCTGCATATGGTAACACTGGGCTCAAAGTGGTGAATTTGAGCACACCTCTGCCTCGCTGGGCTCTTTGCTGGGGGCACGTGGCCCTTGGCACACCAGCCAGCAGCTCACAGCAGCTCACAGAGTGGTCTGTGGTGTCCAGGGCTGAATTTGTACAGCTGTAAATGGTGTAGATGGGTTATAAGTTATTTGTACAGGTGACATAGAGGATTCATATCAGAAGGTGCGACTCTTTTAATGCCTATATATATATATATAAATGTAAAGAGGGGAAAAAAAGCAGCAGAAATGGATCTTTTTATAAAGTTACTTGCTTGTGGCTGGTGTGAGTGGGGTATGAATTGTGGGAACAGAAGGACATGTGGCCCCATAAGTGGAAAACAACTCATGAACTTGTGTTAATGACTAAGCTCTGCTTTGAAAAGCTTTCAGCTCTCATCAGAAGCTGCTGTCACTTGACCAGGTACATGGGAAGACCTCATTCCTTTGCAGAAGAATTAACTTTAATAGTGTCTCCCTAAAGTTTTACAAGCCAGCTGCAAAACCCAAAGTACTGCTCTAAATGCACATTTATTATGTAGCATACGAGTGCCATGGTGATCTCCTGCCCTGCTCCCCGCTGTGCTCATAGGAGAGACAAGGAAAAGTGATGCTATTGCAGATGATCTCTGTGTGTATTGATTACAGTTTATCTGCATGTCAGATGCTTTCAGCATAATTAGCTCCCCATTTTCTGGCACAAACCCACTATGCCATGCCACAGCCTGCTGCAAGGACTATAGATAGGCTTGTCCTCAAGCCAAGAATAACTGGAACTTTGTACTGAGAACTGCCTTCTCCCTGGAACTCAAACTCAAGTAGAGAGCAGTTTTAGTGTCAAGAATCTATTCTAGCCTTGTTACCATATCATACCTCAGGAAGTCTAACTGTTCGTTAACGGGGTGCATGACAGCACCCTTCCCTTCCCTTCCCTTCCCTTCCCTTCCCTTCCCTTCCCTTCCCTTCCCTTCCCTTCCCTTCCCTTCCCTTCCCTTCCCTTCCCTTCCCTTC